AAAAAGGAATTTGCAAATAAAAATAAAAAATTTTCTGTGTTGCGTGTGTTAACCCTAATTGCCACGGGTTGTAGTGTCACGCTACAACCTTGGGTGCAAATGATATCTGCCCTTAATTTTGTTAAGTATTTCTTAGGTGTCTACTATTTTACATACACTGCGATTATTTTAGCAGACATTAATATAGATTGTTTCCTATCAAATGCAATCTTCTAACACACAATTGTGAACTCGACTCTATTTTTTAAAATTATGAGAATGAAAGGACCGAATTTCTGGCCTCAAGCAGAGCCATCTCCGTTTATAACAACTCCGACCGCTTGAACTTGTGTGTATGTTACCCATGGGGAGGAGACTGTAAGTCATTCACTTGTGCGTGTGCCTGAGATATTGCTGGTGCATGTGCAGCTTCAGCACTGTTGCACCTGCATCCTCATTGCTATTTTCTATCAAAGCTTCTTTGATCCTATAGTTTTTTTATCTCATTGTCTGTGACTTCGTTGCCTGCTATTGAAAGAACTGCATGAAATGAAACGCATTAGTGGAGCGGGAAGCTCTAGTACCTCCCTGAAGTTCCAGCTAAAATATTATTGATCCAACACCAATAATAGATATCAGTTGAAGAGTATCTCAACAGACAAGGCTGTGAGATTCGTGGTTATTTTTTGCAGTGGTCATTAGAAACTAAGGGCGTTTCCCCACTAACCCTACGCGATTAGTGTTAAACTGTTTCTGCAGTCTCGTTTCCTGCGTTCTGATTGGCACGCATGAAATGAGAGACACAGTCCCTTGTTTCCTGCGTTCTGATTGGTTTTCCAATCACATGACCGTCAGTCATGCGATTGGAGAACCAATCACGTGAGCTCGGTCACTGAGCTCATTTGCATTTAAAACTATTTGATGTGCAGTGACAGCCTTCCATCTTAAGCGTGCAATGTCTACATCGCCATGCGTGGAAAGTGTAAATTTCATGACTTATTGTTAAAAATAGAAGCTTATCGTGACTGGCTTGCTCGCCATCCCAAGCATGAAGGTATGGCGATATGTACATTGTGCTTGAAAGACTTCGATGTGTCAAACTCAAATATTTGGGAAGCAGCTTTGAGAAGCCATGCCAAAGGCAGCAAACACTTCAAGTTAGCTAAGCAACACAGTGAAGTGAGAAGCAAAGCGCAGTTACACGTTTCCGATTTTTGGTCTGCTGACAGCAATGCAACTGCAGTTTCTTGCTGCAAAAGTGTATCACTGAATAGTCCGTCGCAAAAGTCAGCACGCATCAGTGTCTGTGTCTGCCTGCTCTATGCATTTACACGTTTGCTAGTTATCAACTTTAGGAGATGATAGAATATGCACGGTTACTCTTTCAGTCATGCTAAACCTGTCGTATAAGAGTCCTGGAAAATTATACTGATGATCATGGAGAGTCCTGGAATTTTTTTTCTCAATATTGGTATGCACCCTGTACAAATCTTATAACTGATATTTGATACACTTCTACCTGTCTAATTGATCTGAAATTTTGCACAATTGCATAAAGTCAGAGACAATGCATGAATCAGTTGACAGAATAAATAATTTTGAAAATTTACAAAATTTTGATATCTTGAAAAAAGTTAAAAATAATTTTTCTTTAATATTTGAAAATAAAATTATAAATTCTTTGTACATGTGTAACATCCAAGAAACTGGATTCTTCAGAATTGTTGTTTTAAAAAGTAATTTTTAAATGCATATTATTTAATCTCCCAACACCTACAAAACATTTTGTTTGACTTATTGAAAAGCCAACAAGAATCTGATTTATCAAACTAATTCTTTGACATTCAATAGAACTTGTTTAATATTGAAGTAGGTATACATTTTTAGATTTTCTTGAATCCTAGATGTTGCAATCAGTTGTTGTTACTTCATTTCTTATAGGTATTTAAGAAAAAAATCTTTTTTGGAAAGATTTACATGCAATTAACAATGTTTGTTATTCAGTTTTGTTTTTATTTTGATTTAAAAATGGCAAAGGCTGTATGCACTTGTGGCTACCAATTTGGTCAGTTTTTTACCTTTTAGTATGACCAACCAGTCAACCACAATAAGGTTAAGCTGAGTGATATTCCCATTGTAGCCTCTCTGCTCATACAGTCATACTCAATAAAAAATTAAAAAATTGTCTAAACTTTTTTCATTATCTATAGACAGATTTTATGCTAAATAATTGTAGTTATATATCATTCACTATATTATAATGTCTCTTGTCCAATTTTGTCTATTGAAGCAGCATCAGCACTAGAAGTAGGTAATGTAGGCTGCTAAAACCATCTGATAATACCATCAAACGGGGTAACAAGGGATGGTTTTGAGACTTTTTTGTTAATAACTTCTTACCATGAAACATTTTATAAACAAGTTTGAGCTCATTTTAAAGCTCTTTGCAAGGGCTATCAAATGGCATCACTGCAAAAATTCCATATGCTATTCGTAAGGTGCCTGATGCAAAATAAAAGTGTTCTGAATTGCCCCTGGGAACGGGGTTATCTGGGACACTTGAAATAGAACTCAATTTTTATAAACAATCTGCCAGAAGCAGTGTCCAGCGTGTGCTCCATGTGTGCCGACGACACAAAAGTTTATAATTGAGTGAAGGATGCGTCGAATAAAGCGCAATTGCAAGATGATCTTGACAGTTTAGTTAACTGGGCTGATATCTTACATTAAGTTATTATGTAGGTAGGATTCCTTACATTATTATGTAGGTAGGATTCACTACATTAAGTTATTATATAGGGTATATAGCTTACATTAAGTTATTATGTAGGTAGGATTCCTTACATTAAGTTATTATGTAGATAGGATTCCTTACATTAAGTTATTATGAAGGTAGAATTCCTGACATTCCCTTCTCTGTCTCTCTCGTGTGGGCAGCCGACGTCCCATCATCCCATGTAAGCAACCTCTTGTTCGAGTATCTTTGTTACTGTTGCTTTTCAACTGTCCGTCCATGTCATTTTGTCTCTTTGAGATGCTAACGCTGCTTCTTTCAAGCCAGCTTCAGCGGGCTGGACATCTGAGACCTTCCGCCCCTTGTGGGTGATGATTAACTTGAGATTTTGAATAACTGAGACCTTCCGCCTTGCTGGCGATGTATAATTTGACCTCTGGTGCAAAATAGCTTGATAGCTGAAGCACTAGCAAACCATCATACTACTACTACTCGGTGTCAGAGAAGCTGTAATTCTCTCTAGTGTAATTTAATGATGTTATTAATTTTCAGATGTGCTTATAAAAATTATGAGAGAGGCAGACAGGTCGTGCCTGGACGCGAGCGCCTTCACCCCAGAAATGCGCCTTCATGCCCCCCACATGTTGTAAGAATTTAAAAGCACTGAAAAAACCTTACAAATTCACCATATATTAATTTAAAATAGTCAAAGAAAGGTTAATTATCATTCCAAAAATTCAGAGAGTACAAGCATAATCTGAAAGGAAAGCAAAATTTATACAATAGCTTACAGCCTAAGTATTGGAAGGAAATGAACCAAAGTTTATGAAAACCTAATGATTGAAATTTCAAGTATTTAGGAATTGTAAGTGTTATTGAGGTTAGATTTTATCTTAAAATATGCAGAAAAACCTTACCTTAGTTACGCTTTCAGTTAGAACTTGAAAATGTTAATTATTAGGTTTTTCATTCATTGTTTCATTTATTCAGTACTTCAGTTTTAATCTTTTAAGTGTGAATTTTTTTCTTTTATTATATTGGTAATATCTAAATTTTTAAATTAATGCTGGTCTCCAAGAAGTTTTTTCCTGAGGTGGTTCTCCATAGCAGTTACTATCTATATTTTTGTTTACAGTCAGAATTCTTAAGAGTTTCATTCTCTGCCATTTTTACTGGAAAAAGATTTCCAAGGGACATAAGTTATGAATGTGGAAAGGCAAGTTAATATTGTACCGTATTGATTTTACTGCCAAGAATAACAAAAACATTGAAAGTTGGTATGATGTAGTCATCAATTAAAGTGAGGGACAATGTAAGATTGATTATGACTGATTTAGAATTAGAAAGTAATGTTTTAGGACTGTAGTACTGCATGCATCATATTGAGCTTCTTCTAAGCTATTGTCACATATTAGCTGGCCTGCTATTATAAGATGTTCTTGCATGGGCCATACCTATGCCCTAATGAAAGTGCAGCGCTCTTTCAGTATAAGCATCAGTATTTATTTACATAAATCCCTCTATTTCTGTTTTCTCAATCAAATCATTTTCCCATAATTATTGGCGCTTTAATGGAATTTGGTGTAGTAATGTTCAAATATATATTGAGTAAAATTATCAAATTAGATTTTTGATATTAAACAAAGTGAAGTGAACAAATTATCACTTGAATGAATGGAGTCAAATCATCTTGATTATATTGTATTTATTTTTTTATCTATTTATTTTGTGTAAATGTCTGGTATTGACCAACATCCTCAGCTGTTCATTGATTGTGTGTGCCACCTTCAGTGACATCAAACTTGCTGTTCTCAACCGTGCCTTCAGCACTGATAGCCAGTCGCTCATCAGCCGCCCTAGCAACACGTTTGCTGGCTGAAGCTAAAGCCTTGCTAATATAGTCACCCCGCTTTGTCACGCCTTCCATAATATAAATAGAGTGTAATATAAATAATATAATATATACTTAAAGTCAACTCTGTCTTTCAGCCCCCTTGACTGTCCAAGACCAGACCACTTCTAAGAACCCTGAACCAATGAACTGATAGCATAGTTTGTAGTCAAAACACGAACTGTGACATAAATCTTTTACTTAATTGGCAGAATAGGAGCCATTGGTAGGCAGTTTACTGACAAAATCAAAATTATTTCCGTATCTTTGGGTAAATATTGGCAAATCTCTTTGCATGCAATGGCTGACTGACATTTAAGTCATCAGCATGGCTCCTAAGGTACCATGTTTTTACTTTACTCTTATTATTTTATAGTTTTTGCTCCATAATGATTGCTGTACCAAAGCAATCTTAGAAGAAGAATTGAGCAAAGCAAGAATTGGGAGCAATCTCTCAATTCTTGGGTAATAGTTAAACTTCTCATTTTACACCTTTATACCTTGATTACCATTTGTCTACGTTCCATTTGTTTTTATCAGTTCAGCATAATAATTCCAGAACATTTTGGAATTATTGTCATCATTAAATCCTCCAAACCTTGCGCAACTGGAAGCAAGGACAGAAGTAGTCACCAAGCCACCAAATCCAAGCCAAATCATACAAATGGCCACCAAGGTGATGACAGAGAACCATGTTATGAATCAGAATTTTTGTATTCCTGAATTTGCAGTTTTGATAAATAATTAAATTTTTAATAACATTGAGGAATTCTGCCCTGGGACTTTGGAGCACTTGCAAACACTTTCAAATCCATTCATATTACTTTTTTGTCTAAATGTATCTTGAGTTTCTCTGGCTATATTCTATACTATAACTATTCTTGATATGATTCTATTAATTATCTTTCTAATCTATTACTAATGATAGAGATCCCATGGCCCAAGCATCACATGCTGTATGCTGGTATCAAGTGTGTTTCTTTGCACAATACATTCAAATTGAAAAAAAAAATTACTGAAGGGAAAAAATAAGCATTGTTTTCTCAGTTCATTCTTGTATATATAATTTCTATTATCTCAATCCTTAGGTTTATATGTAAAGTAGTAATAATATGTGGGAGTTGGTATAGTGTCACTGTAGCAAACTTCATCTTTCTATGTGAGGAAGTAGAACTTCATTGTGATTTCTGAGTATGTAAAGTTCCACCCCCTAGCTGAAATTAAAGAGAGAGTAACATTTCATCTTCTTTACAAGGAGATGAGGAAGTAAAACGAGAGAATGTCAGGATGGGGATGTAAAATTTCACCTCTCATTAGGAGGATGTTAAACTTCCTGCCATCTCCTTAGGAGGATGTTCAATTGCATGTTCTCTCATTAGGAGGATGTTGAACTTTCTGCTCTCTCATTAGGTGGGCCTTGAGCTCTATGCTCTTTTATTGAAGGACATAAATCTGCCCAGCATCTCAAGAGATGAGGACCTTGATAAGTTCACAAAGTCTACCCAGCTATTATTATTTATTCATCTTCAACATTTGATTACTTGATTTTGTCTGTTGGCATATCTTTGTACATTCAAGCCATAGTGTAAATATGTTCTAAACTGTTCTGATTATATCGTATGTTGTTCTTAACCTGTGTAAATTTATTAACTTATTAGAAATTATGGGATTATGGGAGTTAAAAAAACGTCTCAATTCAGCACAAAAGTCTCTGTTTTTACTTACAGTCACTGGACGACAAGCAACCTTCACTGTATACTTGTACATGGATCTACACCTTTTTTGTCAGGTACCTCGGCCCTGGCCGCCAAACTCGTCCAGAACAGCGGCTTCGAGTGCGTCCAAGTGATAACCTCTCGACCTCTCGTCAGATGATCGGGTTCAATGGCTCAGAAAAGTGCCAGCATATCAATAAGGTGTGTGTGGTGTTCAGGTAATGAGCATATGAACAAATTGTTTGTTCCTTCTTGGATTGAATTTATATGTCATGTTTCCCTTGTGCCAGTATGTTTTTAATTTGATGGAATTAATAATGAATCGTGTTGTAGAAAGGCTGCTATTGCTGTGATAGAGTCTTGGAAAAGCCAACTTTCATTGAGGTCATTTGTCTTTGAACTTCTTCCACACTTTCCATTTAAGTTGTATTTATCTAATCTCTGCTTATTCTTTTGATAAAAGATAGGTTTCCTCTCAGATATTCAGCAATGCATACAAGTCACCTTTGATCTGCTGCATTTTCATAGACGACCTGTAAAGGCTGATGGCGACACTGCCCCAAAAGAATGGCGGTGGGAGTCCAATGTACTGAACTTAATGCCCCGGCTGCTGTCATGTCCACCTCTGCTGGTAAACTGTGGTTCTGCTCATATGGATATGTTCTGCCAAAGCGCTTGGATGATATTTATCTATAGTGTTTTTTAAGAGTAGAAAACAACTTTATAATACCAAAGCACACCTTCCAGGGTCATAGGCTGCTGGTGATCTGCACGAGTAAAAGGCGCCATGTGCTGGAAGAGCTGGGGCTGTAGATGAACATGGCACTCGAAAGGCAATGAAATAAAACATGAAATACATTAAGGTACAATTGTGAATGAATGATTCTACTGGATATTATAGCTAATGTTCTGCGGCCCTCTTCAACGTAATCACTTCTCAGGTATAAACTTTAGGACGGAGGTGGCCACTTGACAGGTGACGGGAGTTATCGCTTGATTGATGACAGAAAGGTGCCGCTTGACAGGTGACTGTGAGTTGCCACTTGGCAGGTGACAAAGAAATGCCGCATGGCAGGTGATGAAGAGTTGTTACATGACAGGTGAGGAAGAGTTGCCGCTTGAAAGGTGAGGGACAGTCTGCAAGACTCTTCCTCTCCCAGTTATGTGTACAGGATGTGGAGCATCAGCAGCTTCTGCGCCTTTGACAGGACCGCGACGTGCGGTTGCCAGGTTCACTTCATGACTGCTGATGATGTCAGCAGGACCGCGACGTGCAGTTGCATGGTTCACTTCAATTTGTGTGGTTCTCAGGTACACTTCATGACTGCTGATGGCTTCGTCAGGACCGCGACGTGCCATTGATAGGTTCACTTCATGACTGCTGACACCTCACCTCACTTCATGACTGCTGAAGGCTGTTGCAGGCCAAAACGTTTCAGACTATTATTATAAAATAGTTGAAAAAATCTGTTGACAACGAGTATCAATAAACACAGTGTTTTGATCTTAAGTGTTCACATTGTGGCTTGAAATTGCTAACAGTTCTATTTATGATCGCTATATTACTAAAACAAAATTTTCTGCTTTATTGAGACTCAATAATGCATATAGTTCATATAATCTTGAAATAGTGCATCACTAGGCTCTGAAGTTTTATTATTTTCATGACCCCTTGGACTAAGTTGTTCCAAAGCCCTGTTTTTTGATGTAATGTTAGGTCTTGTTTAGGTTTTATGTCTGTCTTAGAATTTGACTTATAAAATGAGTATAATAATTTTTAGATTGTCAAACTGATGATGGAGCTGGACTCCAAAACGTTTTCAATATCAATATGGTGAATTTGCTTGGCGTTTTCTTTGCTTTTAAATTCCTTGTAGTCTTGAAATCCCTCATATCCTGCGGAACAGCTGAAATTTAGAAGCGATTTAAACCTACCATCCATTGAAAAGATTTGATCAAAAGGCTAGTCTAGTCAAGAAAAGTATGAGAATAGGCAACAGGCCTATCCAGGCCTATTTTCCAATGCCGAAGATACTATACTATGAGAACCAGTGACAACCATTCATCATTCTTTATAAACAGGCGCGAATGACTGGAAAAAATTTGTTAGAGCTCAGCAAGACATATATCAGCAGCATGGGGACAATTTAATGAGATGAAATGAACTGTACTCACCAAAATTGAGCATCAAGATGGGATTAGCAAGCAGAGGTGTGGATCAAATCATGCATTAAGAAGTCTTAAGCTGGCTTTTGAAGGTCAGCAAAGAATCAGGTGCAACAAGGGAATTTCCAATTCAGCAATCAGGGGTGCAGACAAACAAAAGTGCATTACATATGGATTTGCAAGATTTAGGCCTTATTAAGTTGTACTCTGATTAAATATTACACCAAGGGAAACAAGATACATGATAAACAAGGTGAACAGGACAGTGAAAAGGTAATGAAATGAAACATGACATACATTAGGGTACAATTGTAAATGAATGATTTATATATTGTACAATAAAGCTAATATTCTGTGGCCCTCTTCAATGTAACTACATAAGTAATATTTGAATGTAATTTATAAATTTGTGATTGAATAGAGATGATTTTAAATCTGAATTAAATTTATTGTCAAATGATTTAAATGTAATTATTTTACTATTTGTGGCTGCTGAGATAAATTGCCAATTTGACACCAAACTTTGATCAAAATTATTGAGTTGATAGTATTTTTTAAATAGCCATGAATTGTAATGAGTAACGACTAACTGACTTCAGCAGGTTGCTCAAATTGATGTGTTGCAGGTTGAAGGCCTGTCCTTCAGACCCTGAAGCAGCTGAAGCTGAAGAACCTGTCTTGATATTGAATTTTTTTAATTTAATTTCAATTCAATTGAATTAATATAATTTTTTAATTCTTTATTAAATTTGATTTAACTTTGAATTAATTTCATTTTAATTTTGTAAACATTGTTTGTTGGCCAAAAAACTTTCATGTTGTATCCGTATCCTATTAATGTAATATGGCAATATCAGAATAGTATCCAATCTCCCTGATTTTGTAGATATTTCGCTCAAAATTTAATTACTCGATGTGTCTCATAACTTGAAAATGAACGTTGAGACATCCAAAACATTATTACATATTAAGAGTGTCCTATTGCAATCTGATTTTGTTACAACACTTCTCTTTAACTTCACTTCTTGTCTGTCTGTCTGTCTGTCTGTCTGCTACAAATCTTAGAATCAAAATTTAACACACTTCTACTTATCCTATCAATCAGAAATTTCGCACACTTGCGTAAAGTTGGAGGATGCATGAATCAAATGATACAATAAATTATTTTAAAAATTAATTTTCTTTTCAATAATAAAAAAATTTGAAAAATAATTTTGTCATCTTCAAACAGAGTGTGTACCAATCCTGGAAAATCTGGAAAGTCCTGAAATTTGATTTTTCATTTTCCAGGCCTGGAAAGTACTGGAATTTAATTTCAGATTATGGAAAATACTGGAATTTGCAAATAAATATATAAGGTCCCGTTCCATAGGCACTCGTGCTGACTACAGAGTCGGTTTAACCGCGCCTTGTCTCGTTCATAACTCGAATGGTTGAGTTCGGCAACGTTCGCCGGTAAGTGCGCCATGCCGGTGCTCTAGTTACTCGTTAGCCTTCAACTGGTCAAGATCGCTGCCATATCTACTGTTCACTTTTATCAAACTACATAATTTTCCTTGATAAATTACCGTCATAATTATGGACAAAAAGGGAACGCTTAAACATAAAAATATCACTTTGGAGACTAAGCTTGAAATAATTAAGCATTTTGATAATGGTGAATGAATGTCAAAATATGATGAATTTTAATATATAATGAAAAAATATGATGAATTCTAGTGAAAAAAAATTATTATGTAACTTTGCTATTTTTGAGGATTCATTATAATTATTCCCATATATTCTTAAGTTTGATTAGCGCGGTTTTGCTTAACACGGTAAAACTCGGGGATTTATTAACCGCGTTAATCAAGGGATTGCTGTACCTTGAAAATCTATCTTCACGAGTTAGAATTGGAGACACTGTCAGAGGCCTGTGAAAATTGGGGTCCTGCACTCAGGCCTGGGAAAATTGGGGTCCCGCAGGGTGCCATATTGTCCCCAGCTCTGTTCAATGTAATGCTTTCGGATGTTCCCACCTCCACTGCCGTACGCCTCATAATATATGCTGATGACCTGACATTGGTTGCTTCAGCATCCTCTCTGCAGTCAGCACAAAGGAACATGCAACAGTACCTCACGCAGTTTTCCTTGTGGTGCAACAAGTGGCATTTTATCCAAAACCCTGATAAGTGCACATATCAATTATACTCCAGAAGTCGCACATCTCCACAGATTGTGCTCCAAATGTGTGGATGACCTATCACCTTCTCTCAGGAGAAGTGAGTATTAGGAGTGATATTTGACTGCCCCAAATTGAACTTTGCTGCTCACGTGTCAGCAGTTTGTGCTGACTGCCAAAGGCACCTGAATGTTCTCTGGACTCTGAGTGCTTTAAAGTGGGGTGCTTCTAGTCCCCTATTGAGGCGTGTCTAGGTGGCATTTATACGCAGCAAAATGGAGTATGGCAGCAGCGTCATAAGTGAGTTGCCCTCTTCCAGCATGAAATTGCTAGACCGTGTACAAAGTAGTGCACTCTCCCTCATACTGGGTGCTCATCATACCTCGCCAATTTTATCCCTGGAGGCAGAATGCTCTCTCCCACCACTTCATCTCCGCTTCTGCTTCCTGTTCATGAAATGGAGTCTTCATTATGCCTACTCTCCTATACAAGCCAAAATACCTAGCCTGCTGGGATTTGACCCCAACTGTGCCCAGAACAACTTACAGCCATTTGCCGCTCACACACGTTTTTTGTTTCGGTCCATTGGAATTACTATGCCTTGACAGGTGAGAACCTCAGCATTCTCACCAATTCCTCCCTGGGTTTCACTACAAAACCAGGTATGCTTTGACCCCAGTAGTGGCCTTACTCTGCACCGTGGTGATAACCATCTCTCAACTATGACCGTGGCTTTCACATTTGCTCTACCTTTTCCAGCCATGCACTCTGAATTTCAATTGTTGCGCAATATCTTTTCACAAAATGGCTTTCCATCGCACCTGGTGTTAACCCAAATTAAAAAGTTTATGTCCAAGCAATATACTGCAGTTGTTCCCAAAGGTGACAATAGGAAAATTGTTTACTGTTCTTTTCCCTACTTTGGCCCTGCATGTGAGGCTATGTCAAAGGAATTAAAAGTTTTATTTGCTAAATATCTTCCGGATGTAAATCTTCATGTGTTGCTAGTTAACAATCTTAAAATCAGCTCGTTTTTCAGGTTTAAGGATACCCTACCTGTTCTTTCAATGGTCACTAGTTTACAGATATAGTTGTGCACAGTGTGCATCAGCATACGTTGGTATGACGTCATGCAATTTCTATACTTGGCTGGTTGAGCATAAGGGCAGGAGTTATAGGACGGGGAACCTACTTGCACATCCACCTCATTCTGCTGTACGTGTTCATGCCGAGCAGTGAAACACCTCTGTATCCAATAGTGATTTTAAAATTATAGCTTCCACATCCGGTGTTACTGATCTATGCATTTTAGAATCCCTATAATTATTCAAGCAGAAGCCTAGTCTAAATGCTGCTTTTAGCTCCGTTCCTCTTGAAATAGTAAATAGATAGGCTGTTTTCTAGTGTTAATTTCATGTATTATTTATTTATTCTCTGTTTTAAAACCTAACAGTGCCTTTTACTTTACTAATTGATTGTATTTGTGTTTCTAGTTCTGACTGAACTTCTTCTGAACTAAATTTTGTGAACTGATGATGGAGCTGGACTCCAAAACGTTTTCTCTTGTAAGATATGGTGAATTTTTGTGCTATTGTTTTTGCTTTCAAAATCCTGGTTAACTTGCAATTTAAGCAAACAAGTAATTTTTTATACAAAATATTGTTAGCAATATTTTGGTCCAAAAATATGGTTTTGATGTGTATGCTGTAAAATTTCATGTCTAATTAAGATGGTTTCTATTTCTGTTACATATGACACATTCAAATGTAGCCAAGTAGTCTGCATCATATATTGATGATGCTTGCATATAACAATCAATTATGTGCTTAAGTAACTTGGGGAAATGGATTTTGTTGCATATTTTATAATTAAAGCCTACCATGAGCTTTGATTACTCTTTACAATTTCCTGTATCTCACTAGTGTTACTACTGTTGCTACCAACAATATAAATTAAAAACTTCTACCTCCGTGATTCATAACAAGCATCACATTTGGCAATGGTGCCCATTACCCTGGAGCAGAGCCTCACTCAAGCATCTCCTGGTGACAGCAAAGTAAAGTCAGAAGGTAAGCAAGATTTCATGTGCCTTACTAATCAGCTGTTATTATGCAGGGGAGGGACTGAGGTTACATCAATTTATTTGATTTAATTTGAAAAGTGTATTTATTTCCTAGGAGTTTCAATACTAGACTTGATGACTATGTATGTGAATTTGTCACTTGAGTCACACTCATCTGAGTGATATCAACTTTTTTTTTCTATAGCTTGCTTGTCTCATTAATTTAGTGAGCATTATATATACTATGAGATATCTTGCTCTATAGCCCAATTGTACCAGTACACCAATGTACATATTTTTCAGCCTTAGAAAATGTTGATCCTCCACCAGTCCTCAAAGTTTCTGCTATCTACATCAAGGAGGAACTTGAGGATGGAAATGAAGAAGTATACATCAAAGAGGAACCATTCTTATATGGAAATGAGGTAGATGGAGTTGATGCACAAATAGATGTCTAGCAAAGCATAAGAAATTCCTGCATAGATTTCCAAGAAAAAATTGGCATGATGCTATAATCAAATGTTCAAGTTAGGCATCAGAAAACAAGTCCAGTATCAAGCCAAAAAGAATAAGCAATAATAATATAGGTAAGAAGTACCCTCATCTTGATTCAATAATTGGTTAGACATTCTGGGGGATTTGATCCATGGTTACTCACTTTAGGTCTGCTATTCTATTTCCTAACTCACCATTTTCCCTGTAGTTATCTGTTGTAAAAAAAAGAAATGTGATGGCCTAACCATATCAATGAATATTTAAGAAAAGAGCCAAGAATGGCAAAAAATAGTACTAAAGAACCTTCATGTCAATTGATACAAGTTTTTAACTCGAATGATGCAACATCAGTACAATGAAAATATAGAAGTGCCTGCAACATTTATTCATGTTAACTTGAATTAATAAAAACTTACTAAAAGTGTGTACTTGGTTTTGAAATTTCCACTAATGTTCATATATCCAGTTAATTTTGTAAACTTGCAAGTGATATATTTGCATTATTGAGTATTGACATGAAAAGACACTTTATTACCAGTAATTTGTGTTGCTACCACATTCATGTGCCATTAAAAAATTAGGAACTTGGTGAGAATTCTATGAGGAGTTGTATATTATATCCTTCTTCATTGAATGCATGCATCACTGCCAGTCATAGTAACATTGTCCTCCGCATCTTCCCAGTCATGTTCAACAGCACCTCTCAGCCCTGCACCTGTATACTCCTCTTGTGTGCCATGCAAGACGGAAGCTCAAGTTGAGGCTAACAGCGCCCTCCCAAAATCATCACAGAACATTTTTGCTCTTTCTACAAATCAGGTAAATTAACTCAATTTTCGTAAAGTTGGAGGAATAGGCGTCCTGTTCTGACAGGTTTTTATCAATTATTGGATGACAGATGGTTTTGTAGGTTTGTAGTAAAGTTTCCTAGTGTTGTCCATTTGATGTTCCCAAGAGAACTTATGTCACGTTTTGCTTTTTGAGGATTTTGCTGTTGCAGTTTTGTGTTGGGAGGCGAAACTGAGCACGAGATCAAAGTTTAGGCCAAGGATTTTTGGGTTGTATTCAGTCAGAAGTTGAGTTCTTGGCTGTGTGTGGTGTGAGAGTGAGTGTTGATTTGGTGTTTGATAATTCAGGTTTCAATTTAAAATTGAATGCAACTGAAATAATGTGAAGTTAATGTATCTAATTTTACTGGAGTACTAACTTGCATTGCAGTTTTGTGTTTAAATTTAAAGGGAAGCGTCTTGGTCGAAAGTTGAAAATTTTGGCCTTTCCATTTTGTTAGCTCATTTTGTATCTGCTTAATAAGCGCATCTAATGCAGCAAACCGCATGCATGTGCAAGCTCTAGTTTTTGCATAAAGCAATTTTAAAAATGTAGAAAATGAACATTTTTGAACAATATTTACAAAGATTTCTTTAAATTAAATCTGTATATATAGATCATTATTCATGCTAATTGCAAAGTGTTTGCACCCGTTTGAAAGCTACAAACAAGATGCATTCAACAAAGCTAATACCATGGAGGTACATGCAATAATTTTTGTGTAAGGCAGTTTTGAACTTTTAGAATTTTTTTTATTTGTTCTTTTATTTATTTTTTTATTTATTTTATTTTATTTTTTCATTAATCCATTGTACTTATTTGTTTCTTTTAATTTTCTTTGCTTTCTGTTAATTAAACTTGATATTTATTTCACTAATTTTATCCATTTTATCCTTATTAATTGTCTGTTTTTTTTTCGTGTGTGTTCTCTCTTTGTTTCAGATTTTCACTTTCAGAGCTGTTAGACAGTTAGGTCTCAATTAAACCCAGTTTAGGAAAGGGGCTTTTATGGACTAGTTTCCAGTGCTCCTATAAGAATAACTAAAAAAAAAGAATGAGAGGTTTGGATTCGGGTTGTAGCTATGGATGGCAACGGATTCTGTTACGGGTTCTGCTGATGGACAGACGTGTGTCTTTAGTTGTTCGGTTGACGGTTGTTAGGGTACTTGACTGTCGACGTCAATCATTCGTCTTCCCTGATAATTTGAAGAGACTTGACATAATTGTTTTTTATGGGCCTTATTTCTAGCAAATCACATATTCATACATTCTATTTAGTTTTCCTATTTTTTTGTTTGCTACGGTACTTATTATTTTTTTTGCGTTATTATTATTTTCTTTTTTCGTTTGCCACCCCTGAGCATGTGCTGCCATGGGCCATGGCAGAAGCGATAGGATAGGGTTGGCTTCTCCTGTCATAGTGGCGGCTAATTTTGATGGAGATCACGGCGTCAGCGGGATCAGCCTGGTAAGAGTTCCTACTTCTGATCTTGTAGAGGAAGACATAGCTCTGATGGAACTTGGAAAATGCAAGTGCTACTTTGGGTTTGGTTATCTCTGCAGGCAAGAAGCGGGAATGCAATCCCGGAGAAGTAGCCAGCAGTGATGATGACATTGAAGTCTTTTGACATCCTAAGAGAGTTGCAAAACGTGTCTCTAACCCTCATTATCATTCCATACTCAATTGAAGGTCAAAGGTTCTCGCCTCTTAACGCGCAACGTCCTTGTCTTTTTTAGTTATTATTATTTTGGCCCTGTAATTAAGTTTATCATGTGATGGAGCTGGAGAGCTCTCCTGGTTTGAACACCATAGGGGTAGGTGACACTTGTTGTGTGGGTAGTGGGGGTAAGTGGTGAAGTGCCTGTAAGCAAAAATCATGTTCAAATTACTACAAATGCAACACTCCTTAGTCAAGGCAAGGGTCTTACAGACCTAATCAAACCAGTCGGTCTAAATGCTTGCACATTCCTTCAAAATCCTGTCAAGCTGGCTTGAGGCCTTGGAGACTCTGCCTATGGCAGACATCCTGAAATGAAGGTGAGAACAAATTTGAGGAGAAACTTGGTAGCAGTAGAGTTTGCATCAATTTCTAATTCAGACATGAGCACTCTCCTTAAAGTCACAAAGGTTGGAACCTGGCAGGTCACTTGCTCCCAACCTGGTACTGACACTTGTATTAGTGGAGTGATTGGTCCAATCCACCCTTCAGTGTAAGTCTCTGAACTCCTGGAGTTGGCTGAGTCAGGCTCTGTGAAGATCAAGGAAATTGTATGACTTCCGTGCCATTGTCAGGGAATACGGGCAGTGAAGGTGGTGTTTGAAGGCAGCTTCCTGAGGCAGTCTACATAGATTATCTGCGTTACCCAGTGGGACCGTTTGTTATGGCACCACTCAGGTGTTACAAATGCCAGCAGATGAATCACATTGCAATGGATGCACTGGCCCAAAGAGGTGCTTATTGTGTGCTGGACCTCATGATAACTCAGAGTGCCCTAGTAGTGGGGGGCTGGGGGCTCGAAACGCTTTTGTGCAAATTGTGGTGGTCCACACTCTGCTAGTGCCCAAGAATGTCCTTGTTAGTCAGATATAATATTGTACTTCTGCCTGAATCTCTAACAATTTGAGTATACTAACTACAAATAACACTCTGTGGAACTAACTTTATATTATACCTTCAGCAAACGCACCTGTGGGGCAACCATGAGTTTCAAGTAGAGGTTTCTCTGAGCAGATAAATTGAATACTGTAATGACTGCCTGTGTGAAGGGTGCCTCTATTTGTCTCTGCCAGATAAACAAATATTCCCTTGCCTCCTTCTGAGCCCTGCCCATAAGAGATCCATCTTGTTTGCACATTTGCATTAAACATTATTTTGTGATATTCATTTTTGGCTGAAAGAGGCTCCAGGTTGAGCCGCCCAGGTTGGACCCTCACCTAGAGTCTGGGTTCTCGTATGTGGCACAAGGTAGGGCATCCTCTAGCTACTAACTTGGGCAATTTAGTTTAGCTTTATCCTTTGTTTTAGAAGAGCTAATTGCTAGCAATTCCTATCAAATAAATGTCATTTCATTTTGGAACTCATTTGGACCCTGATCTGCCATCAGCAAATTATTTCCCTTAACATGATACTGAAATGTACACCCCAATTATGTGAGCTCTAGTTGATCAATTGATACAATGTTTATGATGCTTTATACTAATGACATTTTTCATGTGTGCACAGTTGCTGGGACTGCTGCACTGACTAAATCCTTGTGCAAACATGGGATATTGGGACTTCTGTAACAACCAAATCCCCCTGCAGACGTGGAGCTACATGGTTGCATCTCCAAAGCTCCAATAAGCATCAAACAAGAAGAAGAAGTGAAGGTTTAAACTTCGGCCCGAGACCGGCGTAAGTTACTGTGCTCTGTGCCCGACTGTGGAAATCACATAAATATAGTTGAATATTTAATATTGTAATTATAGATAGGTGTGTTTAGCAAAAGCTTGAGGCTAGAAGCTTCTTAGTTATCTAAAGGATGCCGGTGCGTCGGCAGAAGCGGCGTAAGGGGGCAGTTCGTCTATAGCCCCATCCACACGCTCAAACTTATCGTCAGTCTTGCACATCATGCCAGGTTTGACGACAAGACTGAGCATGTGGAGGCTCAAAGTTTGACGTCTTGCATGACGGGGGGGAGTTTGAGGTTTGACAAACCTGGAAAAGACAGACGGGCGAGACCTTTGGGTTCATGCAAGACTGACAATAAGTTTGTATGTGTGGACGGACAACCGACTTATTGATCAAACTTATTGATCAGTCTATATTGATGTTGAGAGCTTTGACATTGTTCCTTGCTAGCTCCAGTTTTTCATATCCCAGGATATCTGACACTGGTTTCACGATTTCTTTTAGCAAGTTTATCTAGTTATATCATAGTTTCACATGTTTATGGTAAATTCAATAATAAAGCAACAGTGACAAGAACAAGAGAGCACTGACCTAGGTATGTAGGCTATGCGGCGTTGATTGTTAAGTGCGAAGAAGTTGATCTTACAGCATACAAATACTTTGTAACGAAGAAAAAAATTTTTTAATTGAAAAGAATGTGCCAAAATGAAGTCGTCAATGCTATCTGGTGCTGATAGGGATGCTGTCAATCAACCCTCATTGTGGTATTTTTTAAAACCATTTTTGGGACCATCGCGTATGATTGCATTGCTTTAATCTAATTATGGTGGCACAGACTGCAATCACTGCAGCGAGCACCACTGCCTCCTCCATTGTCGCAATTGCACTAAAAACTGAAGGAAAGTTTGAGCGTGTGGACGCTCCTCAGTCTTCTGTCAAAATCGGTCAAACCTCATTATTGATTATCAATTGGCTTGCATCATGGACCATAAAGTGCCGCCTTCCTGTCAATCTTGTTAGATCTGTTGGTGTCATTGGACCGCTGGGTGAAGATGTCTCAAACAAAGACCTTGCAGAAGCTCTAGTTCTGGCTGGACACAGCAGTGCCATGGCAGAAAGAATTCTGAAAGGGAAAGATAAATCAAATACATCAGTGTTCAAAGTCACATTCAACTCAAGCACACTGCCAACATTCCTTTACCTTGGATATCAGCGCTTCCAAGTTAGCCCCCTACATTGCCAAGCCTTGGCAATGTTTTAAATGTCAAAGATTTCACCACAGTGCCATTAGTTGCAAAAATGCCCTACGCTGCGGTGCATGCAGCGGTGCACACAATGTGCAAGATTGTTCGGCACAAGGAAACCCCCTCTGTTGCAACTGTGGTGGCCAGCACACTGCTAACTATGGGGGATGTAGGTTCATGAAGGAGGCCCAGGCTG